ACTGTCCCTTGCCAAGGAGGCGAAGGGCGCCGAAAGCCAGCCTGAAGATCACGGCGACCAGTGACAGCGACTGCGCCCGTAGACTGCACCGTGGAGATCCGATCCTGCTCCTCTCCAACCACATGACGCCGTCGATCTTCACGCCACCGAGCCACTTGCCCACAGAGGAAGCGACGTCAGTAGTCTTGACGATGGTGGGTGCGACAATCTTGAAAATGATCGGACCAACTTCCCGTTGGAACCCAGTACTGGGAGGCTTGGGTGGTGGCGGAGTTCTGCTGGCGAGTGGGAGCTCGCGTGCATCTCTTCCATGGCTGTGCGCACGTCAGCAAGATCAGCATCGACCTTGCCAGTCCTCCCATCGATCGCCGCCACCTTGGCTGAGAGGGTGCCCCGCTGCACTTGACATCTTTTCTCCGAATCGTCAATTTCGGATCGGAACGTGGCTGCCACATGTGCTTTGCAAGTCTTCGGAACTGACTTGGCTGCCTCCTCCATCGTTTTGATCGCCGCCGCCACGACAGGGCCCACAGCTTTGCCAGCGGCTGCGCCCGCAGTAGTGGCGACCATGGTAGCGAGCTCATTCTTCGGGGACTTGAACCGAGTGCCGAACCCTGTGTCGATGAGGCCTCTGACGTGGGCGTCCCGCATTTCTGGATCCATCCCATTTTCATCTTCGCTGTGGGCGCAGCTGGATCGAGACCTACTCCAGATTTCGTAATAAAGGGAGGGGGGTCTCATTTCGGGGGGGGGGGTCTCTTCCAGGCTATCTTGGAAGGCCTGGGGGGTCTGGGGACGATGTTTTGGAGGGTTCTCCCACGGGGGAGGTCTGAAATGGCTTGTCTTGGAGGGTCCAGACCCCCTCCCTTGTATTGCGAAATCTGGAGTGCCATCGTCTCGCGCATCAGCGCCGTCATCCTCGCGAGACCCACCGCCTGCACCAGCAGCGAGACGACGAGGGCCGACGGCCTGCTCCCTCGCACCTCCCCGATGGGGGACTCCACCATCGGCCCCGGGCATTGTCTCTCGCATTAGTAAAGGTGTTCTGGTCGACTTGGGAATGCAGATCTCTTGGTTCAGACATGAAGACGGATGCGTTTGAGGTCTTGTGGGGGGGTCTGCGCATCATGCAATTTTCATGTGACTTCCAGGGGGGGTCAGCGCCGTCATCCTCGCGAGACCCACCACCTGCACCAGCAGCGATGCGACGAGGGCCGACGGCCCGCTCCTCCGCACCGCTCCGCGGGGGGGACTCCGCCATCGGCCCCGGGCGTGAGCGGCCGCGGGCGGGCGACATGGGGCAGGGCGCGGCCGCGGGAGACTGGCTGGCCGCGGCGGCAGCGGCATCATCTTTTGGCACGGAGGCGCGGAGCCCCCAGCTGCCAGCATCTTGAGCCAAGATGGCCACGGAAGGAGGAGGGGGAGGAGGAGAAGCAGGAGGAGGAGAAGGAGGACGAGGAGGAGGAGGAGGACGAGGAGGAGGACAAGAAGGAGGAGGAGGAGGAGGAGGAGGAGGAGACGAGGAGGAGGAGGAGGGAGAGAGGGAGAGGAGAGGAGGAAGAGGAGGAGGAGGCGGAGAGGAGGAGAAGGAGGAGGAGGAGAGGAGAAGCAGGAGGAGGAGGAGGAGGAGCAGGAACAGCAAAAGTAGGAGGAGGGGGAGGAGAAGGATGATAAGCAAGAGGAGCAGGAGGAGAAGCAGGAGGAGCAGGAGGCGCAAAGCAGGAGGAGGGGGAGGAGGAGGAGGAGGAGGAGGAGGGGAGGAGGAGGAGGAGGAGGAGAAGCAGAAGAGGAGCAGGAGGAGAAGCAGGAGGAGGAGGAGGAGGAGGAGGAGGAGGAGCTGGAGCTGGAGCGGGAGGAGGAGGAGGAGGGGAGGAGGAGGAGGAGGAAGAGGAGGAGGAGGAGGGAGGAGGAGCAGGAGGAGGAGCTGGAGCGGGGACGGAGGAGGAGGAGGAGGAGGAGGAGGAGGAGGAGGAGGAGGAGGAGGAGGAGGAGGAGGAGGAGGAGGAAGGAGGAGGAGGAGAGGAGGAGCTGGAGCGGGGGGAGGGGGGTGCGGGGCGGAGGCAAAGGGGGGCGCACGGCGGAGGCCGGCGGGGCGCACAGACGCCGGGCTCCTGCGATCCGCCCGGCGCCTCGGAGGCGCCCCCGGGCCGGCCCGCGGCCGGAGTCTGGCCGACCGGCACTCCTCCAGCCTCTCGCCTCCTCTCCCCCCCACTCCCCCCTCCTCCTCCTCCCTCCTCCCTCCTCCTCCCTCTCCTCCTCCTCCTCCTCCTCCTCCTCCTCCTCCTCCTCCTCCTCCTCCTCCTCCTCCAAGAGACAAGGCAACCGATCGTAGGTTGCGGCGGAGTTGGATTCATATCGCTACGCGATCAGGCAAAGTCTCCAGAGTCCCCAATCTCCCCCTCTCCCTGTCTCTCTCGCCCTGTCTCTCTCCTCCTCCTCCTCTCTCCTCCTCCTCTCCTCTCCTCCTCCTCCTCCTCCTCCTCCTCCTCCTCCTGTTCCTCTTCCGACTGTCGAGGGAAACAGTTCGTGGTTCCCTCTTCCGACCGTAGAGGGGTACAACTAGCGGACACTTCCCCTCTCCCACAAATTCAAAGCTGGCACGCGCGGGGGAGACTACGGTCGGAGTGCAAAACCGCCAGCCTTGGTCATTTGGGGGGAAAGGGAATGTGGCATGAGTGTTCGCTACACGACGGTCAGAAGAAGTGGGTAGAAACATGAAGGAAGGCGTGGGAAATAGATCGGGCTTCCGCCCGCCCGCTGAAGAGGGGGGAAGAGGTGGAACCGCTCGACTCTTGAAGTAGGAAGGCGCCGAAAGTAGATTGGGATCTGGGCATCCCAAAATACCTGCTTTCAACGACCAGCGTGTAGTCTACTCCGAGGCCTGCACGGCCGACCGACCGATCTCCGATTCCGACTCGTCGGTGCGAGTCGCCCGACCTCGTGCAGCTCTCGATCAAGGACCGCGGGAGCCGGCGGCGCGCAGAGGGGGGTATGGGGGAGGGGGACCGTACATGGACATTATATTCGAACCCTGTGGCCCAAGATGCCCCCCCGAACCCCCGAATGTAATATTGATGGCGTGGCGACGGGGGGGGCGTGAGTGGACAGAAATATTCGACCCCCAAAGCGCCGCCTTTGCTGAGATCAACATTGATGTCGGGGGCGCGGGGGTGATTCAGAATCTCCCTCGAATGTGTGAGGGTTCGAATATATTGTCCATCTACTGGAGCAATGCCTCTCAGAAGGAGGCTGCTTCTCAGAAGGCGCGGGCCCTGTCTGTACATGTACGGTCGTGGATGCCACGACCATGGACGCCCGAACAGTCCTATCCTCGAATGAAACATGTGTTTAATCTGTAGGAGCATGTCCAGAAAATGTCTAAAACATTTTTACATGTTAAAACAGTTTTGACACATGGTTTAGACACCTGGAAATGATTTGGCGACATGCCTCCTCTCCACTGACCGCCCTCCACACACATGTACGGCCCACACCCTCTCGGGAGCAGCCCCCTCCTCGTCGACCCGATCCCGAGCCTCGGCGATGCGGACCACCCGGCCCCGCACCTCGCGCCTCCGCCCCAGAGCCCCGACGTCATGATTTTTTCATGACGTCGACCCCCCGAGGTCTCGACCCCTTCCCCGGGACCGGTGCTTCGTCCCGAGTCGTTTTTTGACGCTCCCGAGGGCCGGTGAGGGCCCCCGGAGGCCAAAAAGAGTGAAAAACCTCCCGTCATGATTTTTTCATAACTCGAGGGGGTCTGGGCTCCGCGGAGCGCGCCGCGCGCCGCGCCATCTTCGTGCCGGCCTGCCCTGCGGCGCCGCCCCCCCTGACTCCGGATCCGCCCTACTTTGGGGAAATTCGTAAGTAGGGCTTGGAATTTCCGCCTTACTTTTCAAGCCTCGCTGATGCCAATTTCCGCCCTACTTTTCTGTTGCTGTTTGGATTTCCGCCCCATTTTATGTTGGGTGCAGCAATTTCCGCCCTACTTGTTCGGCCTCTTATAGGTGGATTTCCGACGCAATTTTAAGTTGGAAAAAAAGCCAAAGTAGGGCGGATCCGGAGTCAGGGCCCCCCTGGAGAAGCGCACCCTCGCTCCGGCCCGGGCCGCGGCGGTGTGCGAGGCGCGCGGCGCTCCCCGCGCCCCGCAGCAGCCGACGGATCGTGCAGAGGAGGGGGAGGAGGAGGGGGAGGAGGAGGCGGAGGAGGAGGGGGAGGAGGAGGAGGAGGAGGAGGAGGAGGAGGAGGAGGAAGAGGAGGAGGAGGAGGAGGGGAGGGGGAGGAGGAGGCGGAGGAGGAGGAGGAGGAGGAGGAGGAGGAGGAGGAGGAGGGGGTGACGTCAGCCGCCCGATCGGTAGGACGGAGCCAGGACGAAGACGGCATCGGGCGAGGAGTAAATCGGGGATCTCCCAGACCCCCTCGAGTTATGAAAAAATCACGACGGGAGGTTTTTCACTCTTTTTGGCCTCCGGGGGCCCTCACCGGCCCTCGGGAGCGTCAAAAAACGACTCGGGACGAAACACCGGTCCCGGGGAAGGGGTCGAGACCTCGGGGGGTCGACGTCATGAACAAATCATGACGTCGGGGGTCTGGGAAGACAGCATCGGGCGAGGAGAAGTCGGGGATCTCCGAGCTCCCGCGGCTCCGGAGGATGCCTCGGGCGCCGCGGCCTTCCCAGGAGCCTTCTGCAGCGCTCGGAGGGCGTCCCGGAACGCTCCGGAACGGCTTCAGCTGGGACGCACATGGACATACTAATACTATATGTCCTCCTTGGAGGCGCGCGTCCGACCCGAACATATAGTATACCGATCTTGTAGTATATCGTTTCCCGAGCGGTGTGGCCAGAAAGCGCCCGCCACGACGCATATACTACAAGATTTCTCGGTGCGCGCGTCGCCCCTGGGGGGGCGACGCACATATAGTATAAGTATGTTGGGGTGTTGCCGATCAGCCTCGTCCTGGCCCCGCCCGAAGCGAGCCCCGCCCGGCGCATCTGCGGCGTCTGAGCCCGGCTCCTTCTGCTGCTCGCTCGGGGCGTGGTCGCTCGCGTCGCTGCCCGCGGCGGCGGGCTCCTCCGGCGCCTCGGGCGCCTCCGGGCAGCCGCTCCCCGCCGAGGGCGTCCAGGTCACCCCCCGCTGGGCCCTCGGGCTGGCTCTGGGCTCCGGGCTGCCGCCGACGCTGGTGTGGCCGAACACGGGGGTCGCGGGCACTGCCGCCGCCTCCGCCCCCCGCGCCGTGGAGACGCCGCTGCGCACGGAGAGCGGCCCGCCGTCGCCCTGCAGCGCCTGCGCCCTCGAGGCCACGCTGGCGATCGACATGCCGTCCACGCCGCTCGCGATGGAGAGGCAGTCGCCGGGCAGGGCCTCCGCGGGCGTGTCCCCGCGGGGCCCCAGGCACAGCGGCGGCACCCAGATGCCGCGCCGCCCCCCGGAGCCGTGCACCGCCTCGCGCGCGCCGCTCCTTCGCGGGCGACGAGAGGTATCAAATCAACGTTTTCGCCGTCGGGGGCGCCTGTCCCTGGGCGGCTGGAGAGCTTATACCCCTACGGTGGCACCGCAGGGGTAGAAACTTTCCAGCCGCCCAGGGACAGGCGCCCCCGACGGTGAAAAAGTTGATTTGATACCGTTCCCAGACCCCCGACGTCATGATTTTTTCATGACGTCGACCCCCCGAGGTCTCGACCCATTCCCCGGGACCGGTTTTTCGTCCTGAGTCGTTTTGTGACGGTCCCGAGGCCCGGTGAGGGCCCCCAGAGGCCCAAGAAGAGTGAAAAACCTCCCGTCGTGATTTTTTCATTACTCGAGGGGGTCTGGGTTCTTCGCTCGCTGAGCTCCGGGCGCTGCCGTGGCCGTCCTCGAGCCGCGCGGGCCACATCGGCAGGCGGAGCCCGAGGCGCGCGGAGGAGAGCGGGGAGGCCGGCGGCGAGTCGTCGGGCACGGCCCGCAGCACGGGCCCCCGCGGGGAGGCCCGGAGCGCCACGCCCGCGGTGACGACGCCCCGCGGGGAGCGCACGGCGTGGCGGCCCGCCGCCGCGGGCGCGCCGCGGCCGCGGGAGGCGAGCACCACCTCGTCCAGCTTGTGGTCGATGTGGAGCAGCCGCAGCTTGATCTCGTGGTCGAGCCAGGACACCAGCCGGTCGAAGAGGGCGTCGGGGTCGGGGCTGCTCGCGAGGGAGGGGGGCTTGTGCTCGGAGTCGGCCCCGGAAACGCCCGCCTCCATTCTCTGCTTTGGCAACTGGGCGGTGAGGTATCCGGGGTCTGACTGCCACCCTGAGCCGGGTGGCTCTGGCGGGAGGAAGGGGAGGCAGAGGGCAACGACGAGCTGAAGGAGAGGCGAAGTATGAAGAGGACGAGTTGGCGGAGGGGAGAAGGAAATATTTGAGAACGAAAACGACATGTGGGCGAGGAGGAGGAAGAATAATAAGAAAACGAATAATAAGAATAGTCATAATAACAATATTAATGACAAGAATAATAATAATAACAATAACAATAACAATAACAATAATAATACTAATAATAATAATAATAGTAATAATAATAATACTAATACTACTAATAATAATAATACTAATAATAATAATAACAATAATAATAATAGTAATAATAATAATGATAAGAATAAGAATAAGAATACTAAAGATGATACTACTAATAATAATAGTAATAATAATAATAATAATAAGAAGAAGAAGAAGAAGAAGCAGAAGAAGAGGCGGACGAGAAAGCGGCTGCGGAGGAGGAAGGAGGGCAGGGAGAAATCGTTGCTTATATTCCCTCAACGACGTTTGCACTTATGGGTTCTTTGAAATCCACCGCCCCCGTTTGCCAGGGGTGAAATGGCAATGGCTTCAAGACGGCCAATGAGGACCCCTGAGAGGTCCCAAGGGTGCTCCCAGAAGGCCGCCTAGATTGCCCCATGAGGCGCAAATCGTCACACTCCTTACAAAAGCGCACGTATTCGACATACACGCCTTCTTAGTCTTGACAACATCCACTACGGCCCAAGGAACCCCCAGGATCGTCACAAGACGGCCCAGGAGAGCCCCAAGGCGGCCGGAGCCCCAAAAGGGCCCTAGAGGGTCCCAAAACGGCCCCAGGGGCCTCGTAGACGGCCCACGAAGCCCCAAGAGGGGTAATACGGCATCTCGAGTCTTTCCCGCCGTGATGGCTCTCAAAGCACCCCAGTGACCCCAAAAGGCCCCAAGAGGCTTCCAGGAGGCACCCAAGAAGCCCCCGAGAGGCCCGCCGAAGCTAATCAGATGCCTCCTAAAAGCCCTCCAACAGTCCCCTGAAGAGACATTCCAGGAAACCCTCATATGCTTCCCCGGGGCACGTGGACCCACACGCCAGGCACGGTGGCACGACGCTCGGCGAAGCCACTGTTACGGGGGCCGGCCGAGTGGCGTAGGCCTCTTGACTGCAAGTCTAGATTCCCGAACCGTGCCTGCACATACACGTCGTTCATCTCTAATCGTGCTCATTTCTAATCTTGCTCGTTTCTAACTGTTCCTGGCCCCCTGGTGGCCGAAAAGAGGCCCAGAATAGAACAACTAGAAATGAGAGGATTTGGGCCCCCAAAAAACTCCAAGAACTGTCGAAGAAGTAGAAGTGAAAAATATCTATGGGTTCTGACCTCTTGGACCTCAAGAGTTGGGTCCGCCGAGGTCTCCCCGGGCGGGTGCCAGGAGAGCCCAGAATCGAATCGACAATCGAAATGAATCGGATCGGCGGAAATCGGCAGCCGAGCCGGAAAGCGTCGAACCGGCGGAAATCGGCAGGCTGGTAGGCCTCCAATGAGAAACCGGAGCCCGAATCGGAAGCCCAATCGGATCGAAATCGAATCGAAATCGAATCGAGAATCGAATCGAAAGCGGGAGGAATCCAAGCGATCGAATCGAATCGGAATCGACATCCATCGAAATCGAACCGCATCGCATCGGAGGCATCGAAGCGAGCCCTGCCCGGGTGCCCTTTGGGCGCCCACGGGCGCTGGCCGGGCCCGCCGAGGCGTCGTCGCGCCGGGCGCGCACGGGGCCCCTCGCCGGCGCCGCGCGCGCCGGCGGGGTCCGTCGAGGCTCCGGGGCGCGCCGTGCGCTGGCTCGGCCCGCCGAAGTCTCGCCCGTGGGCGCCCACTCGCCATCGCTCGGACGCCCATTCCCAGTTTTTTTGTTTTGTTTCTTCTTCTTCTTTATATATATATATATATATATATATATATTCGGTTTCGTGCGTGGTTTTTTCGCCAAATGGTCAGGGATGCTCCTCGAGGGTCCTCGCCGAAGGAAAAATGCACACGTCCGAGCGATGCCAAGCTCTGGGGCGCGCCAAGTGCGCTGGCCCGGCCCTCGCCGAGGGTTTCGCGCGTGGGCGCCCACTGAGGGCGCCCGCGGGCCTGCTTTCTTCGTTGGGCCTGTGCTGGCTCGGCCTATGCTTGAGGAGGAGGAGGAGGAGGAGGAGGAGGAGGAGGAGGAGGAGGAGGAGGAGGAGGAGGAGGAGGAGGAGGGGGAGAGGAGGAGGAGGAGGAGGAGGAGGAGGAGGAGGAGGAGGAGGAGGAGGAGGAGGGGGAGGGGGAGGAGCGACCCCAAACTCCAAACGACTCCATGCCAACACATCGGGGGCGGTAGTTGGGCCTGCTTTGCGGAGGTCAGGCTGCAGCTGGGCCTGGCCCGAGGCCAGCTGCGCGAGCGTTTCGTTGGGCCATGGTTGCAAGAAAATGCATGTATTTGAATCAGGCCTCTTTTGCTTAGGCCTGGCTCGGTTAGACCTATTTTAGCTCGGCCTATTCTGGTTAGGCCTGGTTGCAGCTGGGCCTGGCCTGATTCCAGCTGTCCGGGCTGGTTCGGCACAAGTTAGTTAGGCCTATGTTCGTTCGACCGTCTTAGCTAGAGTTATTTGAGTGAGACCTATTTCAGTTAGGCCTGGTTGTAGCTGGGACTTGCTGGATTCCAGCTGCGCGAGCATCAAATGCGGATTATGTAAGTTAGGCCAGGTTGCAGCTGGGCCTGGCGTGATTCCGGCTGCCCGAGCATTTAGTTAGGCTAATTCTAGTTCGGGCTATTTTAGTTAGGGCTATTTTAGTTAAGGCCTTTTTTATTTAGGCCTAGTTGCAGCTAAGCCCGTCCTGATTCTGACTGCGCGAGCTTTGAGTGAGGCCTGTTTGGGTTAGGCCTATTTTAGTTCGACCTATTGTACTTGGGCTTGTTTCAATTGGGCCGGGTTGCGTCTGGGCCTGGCCTGATTCCGGCTGCCCGAGAATTTGGTTAGGCCTATTTAAGTTAGGCCCATTCAGTTGGGCCTAATTCGGTTCGGCCTATTTTGATGAGGCCTGGTTGTAGCTGCGCCTGGCTTGAGCGCACCTGCCCGAGCATTTAATTAGGCCTGTTTTAGATAGAACTATTTTAGTTAGACTTCGGCCTATTCTAATTAGGCCTGGTGTTTGAGGTAAGCCGGGTTGTAGCTGGGCTTTGCCTGATTCCAGCATCACGAGTATTTAAGTTAAGCCTATCTCGATTTTGCGCATCTAAATCAGGCCCCGTTGTAGCTGGGCCTGACTTGAGTCCAGCTGTACGAGCATGTAGTTAGGCCTGTTCTAATTAAAAACAATTTAGTTAGACTTATTGTAGTTAGGCTTATTTTACTTAGAGCTGGTGCTTTAGGTAGGCTTGGTTGTAGGGCCTTGCCAGATTCCAGCTGCGCGAGCACTTAATTCAGCTTATTTTAATCAGGCCTGGTTGTAATTGGGCCTGGCCTGATTCCAGCTGCACGAGTATTTAGTGAGACCTATTTTAGTGAGGCCTATTTTAGTTCGACAAATTTTAGTTCGGCCTATTTTAGCGAGGCCTGGTTGCAGCTGGGCATGTCCTGATTCCAGCTGCGCGAGCATTTAGTTAGGCCTGTTTGGTTTAGGCCCATGTTACGCATCCCTATTGTAGGTAGGCCTACTTTAGTTAGGCTCATTCTAGTTAGGCCTATTTGGGCTAGACTTATTTTGGCATTAGGCCTAGCTTCATTCGGCTTATTTTAGCTAGGCCTAGTTGTAGCTGGGCCTGGCGCGGGTCCAGCTGCGCGAGCATTTAGTTATGCCTATTCTAGTGAGGCCTCATGTTTGTCAGTAGACCTATTCTAGCTAGGCCTAGTTTAGTTAGAGTTGGTGCTTTAATTCGGCCAAGTTGTACCTGGGCTTTGCCTGATTCCAGCATCATGGGCATATTAATATGCCTAACTAGAATAGGCCGAACTAAACTAAGTCTGAGTTAAAGCAAGCCTAACTAGAAGAGGCCCAACTAAGATTGGCCTAACTACACTAGGCCGAAAGAGATGCTCGGGCAGCTGGAATCAGGCCAGGCCCACCTGCAACCAGGCCAAACAAACATAGGCCTATGTAAAATACGTCTAACTAAAATAGGCCGAGCTACAATAGGCCCAACTAAAATAGGTCGAACTACAACAAGCCTAACTGAGTGCTCGCGCAGAAGGGCTCAGGCCAGGCCCAGCTGCAACCAGGCGTAACTAAAATAGACCGCGCTACACTAAAATATGCCGAACTAAAATAGGCCTGACTATAATAAGCCGAACTACAACAGGCCAAACTAAATGCTCGGGCAGCTGGAATCAGGCCGGGCCCAGCTACAACCAGGTCTAACTAAAATAGGCCATCACACCAGCATTACTTAAATCGGCCTAACTAAAACAGGCCAAACTAAAATAGGCCCGACTAAATGCTCGGGCAGCTGGAAGCAGGCGAGGCCCAGCTGCAACAAGGTCTAAGTAAAACATGCAACATAAGACTAACAATGCTAGGCCTAACAAAAATAGGCATAACTAAATGCTCGGACAGCTGGCATCAGGCCAGGCCCAGCTGCAACCAGGCCTAGCTTGAATAGGCCTGACTAAAAGGGGCCTCACTAAAACAGGCCAAACTAATAGAGGCCAAACTAAATGAGGCCTAACTAAAATAGACCTAACTAAAGTAGGCCCAACTAAATGCTCGGGCAGCTGGAATCAGACCAGGCCCAGCGGCAACCGGGCCTAATTGGAATAGGCCTAAGTAGAACAGGTCTAACTAAACTAGGATTCACTAAAGTAGGCCTAACTAAAATAGGCCTAACTACAACAAGCCTGACTACGTGCTCGCGCAGCTGGATTCAGGCCAGGCCCAGCTGCAACCAGGCGTAACTAGAATAGGCATACTTGAAATAAGTCAAACCAAGCTAGTCCTAACTGAATTTGGCCTAACACTAAATGCTCGGGCAGCTGGAATCAGGTCAGGCCCAGCTGCAACCAGGCCTAACTAAAATAGGCCTGACTAAAATAAGTCTAACTAAAATAGGCCGAACTACAATAGGCCCAACTAAAATAGGCCGAACTAAAATAGGCTGAACTAGAAAAGGCTGAACTAAATGCTCGGGCAGCTGGAGTCAGGCCAGGCCCAGCTGCAACCAGGCCTAACTAAAGCCAACTAAAAACGGTCTAACTTAACTAGATCTAACTAGACTAGACTTCACTAAAATAGGCATAACCACATGCTCGGGCATATCACATCAGGCCAGGCCCAGCTGCAACAAGGCCCAACTAAAATAGGCCCAACTAAAATAGGCCTAACTAGAATAGGCATAACTAAATGCTCAGGCAGCTGGAATCAGGCCAGGCTCAGCTGCAACCAAAACTAACCCAAATAGGCCTAAATAAGATAGACCTCACTAAAATAGGCCTAACGAAATTAGGCCTAACTAAAAATAGGCCCAACTAAATGCTCGGACAGCTGGACTCAGGCCAGGCCCAGCTGCAACCAGGCCTAACTAGAATAGGCCTAACTAAAGTAGGCCTACCTAACATAGGCCTAACTGCAATAGGTCTAATGATACAGAAGACAAACCACAATCATGCTTAAAAAAAAGATATCAGGCTATGGGGCTACAGGTCTACAGGGCTATACGGCTATGGAGCTATAGGACTATAGGGCGATAGGGCTATTGGGCTATAGGGCTCTTGGGCTATAGGGCTACAGGGTTACAAGGCTATAAGGCTATAGGGCTATAGGGCAATCGGGCTATATGGTGTATAGGGCTATGAGGGATATAGGGCTGTAGAGCTATAGGGCTATAGGGCTACAAGACTATAAGGCTATAAGGCTATAAAACTATAGGGCTATAGAGCTGTAGGGCCGGGCACCCGGGCACCCGGGCACCTCCAAGCACCCTGGGCACCGGGGCACCCGGGCACCCCCGGGCACCGGGGCACCCGGGCCCTGCCACCAAAATCGGCGACGTAGGTCACCTACAAATATGAATCCGCTGGGACCCCTACAGAGGCAAGCTCTGATTGGGGAACTAAATGCTCGGGCAGCTGGAATGGCGCCAGGCCCCGCTGCAACCAGGCCTAACCAAAATAGGCCTAACTGACATAGGTCGAACTAAAATAAGTCTATTTAAAAAAGAACTAGACTAGGCCTAACTAAAATACGCCTAACTAAATTATCGGGCAGCTGGAATCAGGCCAGGCCCAACTGCAACCAGGCCTGTCTTACTAAAATCAGCCTAACTAAATAAGTCGAACTGAAATAAGCCTCACTAACATAGGCCTAGCTAAAATAGGCCTAGCTGAAATAGGCCTGACTAAATGTTCGGGCAACTCGAATCAGGCAAGGCCCAGACACAACCAGGCCTAACTAAAATCGGCCAAACTAAAATTAACTAAGATAGGCCTAACAAACATAGGCTTAACTAACATATGCCTAACTAAAGCAGGCCTACCGAATGCTCGGGCAGATGGAATCAGGCCACGCCCAGCTGCAACCAGGCCGAACTAACATAGGTCGAACTAAAATAGGCCTAACTAAAATAACCCGAACTACAATAGGCAGCACTACATGCTCGGGCAGCTGGAATCAGGTCAGGCCCAGCTACAACCAGGCCTAACTAAGATAGGCCAAACGAAATGCTCGCGCAGCTGGAATCAGGTAAGGCCCTACAACCAGGCCTACCTAAAGCACATGGTCTAACTAGAACAAGGCTAGCACAACTAAGTCTATCTCAAACAGGTGTAACTTTAATAGGCCTAACTACATGCTCGGGCAGCTGGACTCAAGTCAAGACCTGCTACAACCAGACCCGATTCAAACACGCATAGTCAACATAGACTTAACCTAAATGCCCGTGATGCTGGAATCAGGCGAGGCCCAGCTACAACCCGGCCGACCTAAAGCACCAGGCCTAACAAAAATAGGCCTGAACTAAATTGGGTCTAACTAGAATAAGGTGAACTACAAATAGGCCAAACGAAATGCTCGCGCAGCTACACTCAAGCCAGGCACAGCTACAACCAGGCCTAATTTAAATTGGCCTAGCTAAAAAACTCGAGCTAAAGAAAGTCAAACTAACACAGGCCTAACTAAAATAGGCTAAATGCTCGGACAGCTGGAGTCAGGCCAGGCCGAGCTGCAACCAGGCCTAACTAAAATAGGCCTGGTTGCAGCTGGTTCCAACTACAATAAGCCCAACTAAATGCTCGCGCAGCTGGAATCAGTGCAGTTCGAAGCACCACCCCTGACTGGAATAAGCCTAAACTAAGACATGCAGCTCGACAGGAACGAGATTCATGGAAGCAAAACTTCATGCCCTGTTCGTTGCCGTCGGCTTGGCGCGAATGCCGTCGGTGGCGAGGAGGAGGAGGAGGAGGAGGAGGAGGAGGAGGAGGAGGAGGAGGAGGGGGAGGAGGGGGAGGAGGGGGAGGAGGAGGGGGAGGAGGAGGGGAGGAGGGAGGAGGAGGAGGAGGAGGAGGAGGAGGAGGAGGAGAGAGAGGAGGAGGGAGGAGGGAGAGGAGGAGGAGGAGGAGGAGGAGGAGGAGGAGGAGGAGGAGGAGGAGGAGGAGGGGGAGGAGGAGGGGAAGGAGGGGGAGAGGAGGAGGAGGAGAGGAGGAGAGGAGGAGGAGGAGGAGGAGGAGGAGGAGGAGGAGGAGGAGGAGGAGGAGGAGAGAGGAGGAGGAGGGGAGGAGGAGGAGGAGGAGGAGGAGGAAGGGGAGGAGGAGGGGAGGAGGAGGAGGAGGAGGAGGAGGAGGAGGGGAGGAGGAGAGGAGGAGGAGGAGGAGGAGGAGGAGGGGGGGAGGAGGGGGGGAGGAGTGGGAGGAGGGGGAGGAGGGGGAGGAGGAGGAGGAGGAGGAGAGGAGGAGGAGGAGGGGGAGGAGGAGGCGGAGGAGGAGGAGAGAGGAGGAGGAGGAGGAGGAGGAGGAGGAAGAGGAGGAGGGGGAGGAGGATTCGTGCGCCGGCGGGGTCCGTCGAGGCTTCTCCCCGGTGGGCGCCCTGCGGGCGCCCTGCCGCGGGCGCCACGTGCGCCGGCTGTCCCCGCCGGGGGTTTCCCCCCGTGGGGGGCGCCCGGGGGGCGCCCGTGGTCCCAGACCCCCTCGAGTCATGGAAAAATCGCGACGGCAGGTTTGTCACTCTTCTTGGCCTCTGGGGGCCCTCGCCGGGCCTCGGGAGCGTCAAAAAAAGCGACTCGGGACGAAAAGCCGGTCCTGCAGGGAAGGGGTCGAGGCCTCGGGGGGTCGGCGTCGTGAAAAAAAAGCACGGCGTCGGGCGCCCGTGGTCGCCTCCCCACGGGGCCTGAGGCGCGGACTGCACCGCACAGCATGCCCCGGACGGATCGCACCAGGTTTACGAGGACAGGGGGCAGTTTTCAACAATCAGCCACCGTTTCTTAGCTTTCACAATCATTTCTTGATCTTCAGAAGCTCTCATTATCCTTTCCTACCCATCATCGTCATATCATAGCTTTCCGCCAAAAATAGTGCAGGGGACGAGTTTTAACACTCAGGGGACAAGAAAAAAGTGGCATAAACATAGAAACTCGGAGGTCCGCGCGGAGTTCTCGGATCGGCGCTGGGGCCCTCCCGGCGGCGCCTCCGGCGCCGCCCCTGGCGCGCTCCGCGCGCCAGGGAGGGGGGGTCCAGCGCCGATCCGAAAAATCCGCGCGGACCTCCGAGTTTTTATGTTTGTGTCACTTTTTGTTCCCCTACGATTGCACCACATAGCGTGCTCCACACACACACACACATACACACACATTCTGCTTCAACAAGAATAGCGCCCCGGGGTCAACCGCTCCCTCGTCGCATTGCGAGTTACGTATGTTTCTGTCCCATCGCTCCTTGTCCCAATGAGATCATACCGTCCCAGCACAACTGGTATCGACCCACCCTCACCCCTGTCAAATTATACCATGCGCGCACCCTCGTTTATCACAAAGGTAATGCTTCGATCATCAGGTTGCAGAAACATACGAATTCACACGCGCGCACATGTCGAAACCATGCCAAATACTTGGTTGGAGCAAAGAACACAACCTAACCGCCCCCAAAAACCAACCAGTTGCCCATCCAACGTCTTGCATGTGTTCTGCCCTCGAGCACTAGCACGATTTAAGATATCGCGCACTGGGCGCACGATGGATCATCAACGCGGTGCATCCGCGTTGACCTAGCATGCGCTTAATGGGCGAATCCGTCTCACACAATACCATGTGGGCCACCTGCGCACGCCGCCACGCGCGCTTCTCGAAGTCCGTGCAGCACCCTCGGTCTTCAAAAAGCACCAGGATTGAGCACTTCAGCACAAGGTCTGCCAGAAATCGAGATCTGCTGCGCGCGCGCACTTCCACATCATCTTCATCAGTACCATCGCATCACCACCGCTATCGTCACCATCACTCGCCGCCATTGCCGTCAACATCCACACAATCACCTACACGACCGATGCATGTACATCATCATCGTCACCGTCGGCATCATCATCGGCGCCGTCATTGGCTTTATCGTCGTCATCGTCATCATCGCCACAACCATCGCTATTGTCATCATGTTTGCTGCCATTGTCGACGTCATCATGCTATCGCGTCCG